GACAGCTGACCTGGCCAGCCCCTGGTACCGAGCCCCCTCGCAGCCCCGGTGCCGAGGGGCTCATCGGCTGAGCAGACCCTGGACCCCAGGGGAGCGATGATGACGGGCGGGGGGGAACCCCCCAGCCTGGTGTGGGGATCTCAGCATCGCCTTGTCCTAGGAGCTGAGCCAGACCCAGAGCATCACCTCTCCGGCTGCCCGAGTCCCGCTGCAGCGTGGGGAGCGTGCAAGGGGTCCGTGCTGGCGGGCAGCTGCAGCGTCCAGCTTTGCCATGGGTGGGCTGAGCGACGCTGTGCCGTGGGACACCCCTGCTGCTTTTGCTCCCCGACCCAGACGGGACCTCTCCTCTCGCTGCTGCCTTCTCTCCCCTGTGGTTTCCATCCTCAAACCAGTGACCTCGATTCCTCGGAGGACGTGACACCCGCTATTATATAAAGGGCTGGGGGCGAGCGCTGCGGGAGGGGACACGACACCCCCGAGCCGTGCCTGCGGGAATCGGAGTTGGTTCCGATCCAGCCCGGATCGGCGCAGGGGGAGTCGCAGGGTGATCTGGTGATGGCCTTGCAGCTGGCACGGCGTCCCCCCCCTCCTCCCCAGGCCTCGGAGCAGCCTGCCGGACGCAGCCCTGAACCAGAGGGGATTTCTCACTGCCCAGTTTGGGCAGCCTGGGTGCAATGGGAGAGCGTGGGCTGGGAGGCATGAACCGCTGCCGTGGGACCCCATGCCCTCTCCGGGGTACCCCGGCTGGCCGGGACGTGGGCTTGGTCCTGTTCTCCTGGGCATGGTTGTGCTGCTGAACTACACCCAGCTCCTCGCTTGGGCTGGAGAGAGCTCATGTACTGGGTGAAGTGTGCTTTGAGCCCAAGGGCGCCGAGCTGCACGGGTGGTTTGAAGGGTGAGGGCTTACCCCTGCATGGGAGGGGAAGGGAAGGCTGCCGGGCAGGTGACCCCCTCCCACAGGCTGCAGAGCACTTGGGCTGAACCTCCCCAGCCCCATCCCTTGGGTGCTGCTGCCAGGAAAGGAGAGGGGGAGAGACCTGGTGTCCCAAGCCTCGTGTGGTGCCTTTAGGGAGGGGATGGGGAAGGAGCCGTGCCCCCATCCTGCTCCTCGGCCACCCCCCGACAGCACCCTCAGAAGGTTTCTTCTGCAGGTTCTTCCCTCTCTGTTTAACACGAGGATGAGCCAAGTCCCGCCAGGACTAAATATAGTCAAAGTATTCGTTCTTCGGCGCGGATACAAAAGCTGTCGCGACGGAGCTGGGAGGTAAATGGCCTTCGAGGACTGACTCTGCTCTTCCCCTCCGCAGGTCCTGGGCTGCCGCACCGGGGCTCCCCAGCGTGGCTGCAGCACTGTCGCCAAGAGGAATGCGC